AGGCCAGTAGGCCCCGGCCGCCGAGATTCCCCGTGTGCAAATGACGCTTGACCGACAATCGGAAGCAATGCCAGGAGGATACGTCGGGCCTCTCGGCCGCCGTCGCAAGACGGCCAGCCCGAGTCGAGAAGCCCGTGCTGAATACTCCGAGGGCTGACAAGCCGCCTCGCGGCGAGCTCCAGTCAGCAACTGCTCAGCATCCTCGATTCACCGCTCCTTCTTCTTTAGTGCTGTCGGCATCTCCACCCGCGCTGGGCGCTGCAGAGGAAGCCCCGCCCGCCCCCTCAGGAGTCTCGAGCGCGCTCTCCGCTGCAGGCGCCGGAGACGAGGTTCCGCAGGCGGCGGCGGCCGCGCCTGTAGCCTGCTTCTCCGCCTTCGTCGTTTTGGCCGTCCGTCGAATCTCACCCAGCCTCGCCCGATGTTCTTTCAGGCTCGACCATGGCGGTCCAAAAAAAGGTAGCTCGCGTGGCATCCGCCAGAATCCCGAGCAGATTCTTCTGGCGGCGGCCTAGCCCCTCCATTTCGGACGAAGACATAACACCGCCATCGTTCGCAAAGTCAGAACCCAATGATAGTGAGACGTTCGGGATTCACAGAACCCTCTGTCACGCGCAACAGCGGTCCAAAATCGATGGCCGCTGAACCAGACAGCCTTCGATTGCTGCGATCAGGAACTATCGTCTTGACGAGGTCGGCTCGATCCTTCTCCGCAGCGGCCGACGTGCGAGCGGCATCGGCCATCCCCCTCGGGAGCTGTCTCAACTTCCAAGGTTCGTTTCGGCGCGTTCAACCTTTCCTTGTCAAAAGACACCTTCGCCCTCTGCGCCTTAGCCGCCGCGGCCGTGACCTGCTGAATAGGCTGAAGGGGGGTCGTGGCAGTCGAGTCCGACAACTGAGCGCCAAACAGCAACTTCTCCGCCGACTCCTGCTGACTACCTGGCGTTGCCTTGATAAAAGGGCATCCAAGTTTACAGCCATGTAGTTGGCCTTGCCCTTTCCCGGGCCATTGTCCTGTCCCGGGTCTAACTCCTTCACGAGTACAAGCTGATCGCCGAACGTCGTTTCGCACAAACACGCGTTCTTGTACATCTGCAACTTATTTAATCGCTTCGCTCATTCCGCCGGCCCATACAGTCTCATGTCTGCCGTTTGCCCGAGGGCCTGGTGTCAATGCGGCGCTTTGGGGGTTCCTGGGGCCGCTTGGGGGACTCCTGGGGCGCTCGGGGGGCATTTGGGGGGCCTCCTGGGGCCGCTTGGGGGACTCTTGGGGGCCTCCTGAGGGCCCCGTGGGGGCCTCTTGGGGCCTCTTAGGGGCCTCGTAGGGGCTTCTTAGGGCCGAGGGCTCGAAATGTTGTTTCGTGTTCCCTCTCTGGGGCCCCTTTGGGGGCGTTCTTGGGGCCCTCTTGGACCGTTTTGGAGGCTTCTTGGGCCGTCTTCGAGCCCTCTTGGGCCATCTTGGGGCCCTCTTGGGTGCCTCTTGGGCCCTCTTGGGGCGATCTTGGGGGCCTCTTGGGCCGTCTTGGGGCGTCGGGAAGCCGAAGAGGTGGAAGCTCCAAAATCTCTCAAAAACCTATGGAAAAACAATGATTTTTGCCTCCGGGGGCCCTATTGGGAGTGCTCTTGGAGGCCTCTTGGGGCGTCTGGGGGCTATCTTGGGCGTCTTGGAGCGATCTTGTGGCATGTCGGACCCCGGTACCATCTTGGGGGCCTCTCGGACGTCTCGGAGCCCTGTTGGTGCGCTCATGGAGCGCTCGGGGGGACCCGGCCGGGACCCGGCCGGGACCCGGCCGGGACCCGGCCGGGGACCGGCCGGGACCTGGTCGGGGTACTTTTCGTCCGGGGACCCCCAGGGGCCGCCCCGCGCGCGCGAACTAGAAAATTGTTAACCAGTTACCGGAGATCTTAGCACGCCTCTGGCCCGTTGGGCCGGCGAATTGTAGGCACCCAAGCCCACCTGCGGCGTGACGCGCAGCTCACTTTGGCATCATCCATCTCATTCACCTGCTTCTGCTTGGGACCAGTGCGCTGAAGAGACTGTGGAGTCGGCCAGCTCGTTGTCCCCCAAGGCCGATTGTGCTCAAGCCAAGGCGGCGGTGGCGGGGTAGAGCAAACTTCAGAACGTGGCTGAAGAACTGGCTGGACGGGCTCGCCAAGTTCAGGCCCAGGTTCTCCGGCAGGCACCTCTTGCATCCTGCGTCTCTGACGGCTCTCCGGGGCCTTCCTCATTGCTCAACCAGCTATGTCTGATCTGCGCTCCCTCCTCGGGGGTCCGGCTCCCAGCCGAAACTGCGCGGTGACTGCCGAAGGCCCCAGAGGCCCGCGCGCCTGCTCGGCACGCGAGCAGACGGGGCCCGAACAGACAGGGAGGAAGAGGAGGAGTAAAGTGGAACATGGTGGAAGGGACACGCTGGGTGCGCTCGCGCCATATCTGAAGCCCCACCCCTTACCATTGCGTAGAACCCCTCTCTCGCCGCACAGTCGGGTGTCGAGAGGGGAAGCACCGTGCAGAAGCGCATGGCAGACCATGGCGTAGGAGAGCACGGCATAATGTAGCATGGTGTAGAACGGCATGGCATTGCGAAGACACCAGAACGGGGAAACGATCCAATACACTGGGCGCACGGCCGCAAGAAACCGTCGCAAGAAGCCCAGCCCTGAAAATCCACAAAGCTTCTTGCCCGGGGTCTGGGTTTCTGAGCCAGGGGCTCGAAGCGGAGAAACCCAGGGAACCCTGGCCCGAGGAGTTTCTTCGCGGGTCGCGCTAGGAAGCTGCGCGAGAAGTAATTTCGCCGTTGGCCCTCCGTATTTACGCAGATGCAACAAAACAACTCCCTTCGGCGCAGCGGGGTTTCTACGGCGGCGGGGCATTTTGGAAATGGCGTTCCGAATCCGCACGAATTCAACAGATTCACGATACCTTCGGCGCAGCGGGGCTACTTCGGTGAAGGTGCTCTTCAGCGCTGTTGGCCCTCCGAGTCCGCGCGGACGCAGGAAATTCACGGCACCTTCGGCGCAACGAGGTTTCTTCGGTGGCGGGGCGTTGCTTCCGCGAGGTGGAATTAGGAGGAAACCCAAGGTCTCCTGAACGCTAGAGTTTCTTGACGCCCGTGTGGGAAACCATCGCTGGCCGCGCAGAGCGAAGAAACCCAATATGCCCTGACGAAACACATCCGGTTTCTTGGTACGCCCCCCCCACTGCAGCACTGCCAGCGCCGCAGCGAGACCGCCATGCCATTGGACGGAGGCTCCGTAGAACCTGAAACGCGAGGTCAACGGTGTACAGTCGGGGCCTTGACCTAAGGAACCCCAGATAAGGAACGAGGCTCCTTTTTCCATAAGTTAAACTTCGATTTCCGATCGAAAACATAAGGGAAACCTGAGGCAAGCTGTGAAACACGTAAGGAACGCGGAGCCCCTCCCCAACCTAAAGGGTTCCTTTTTCAGGGCCCCGACTGTACGAACACGCAGAGACCAAGGCTGGTGGGCGCAAGCCGCATGCGGATGCAAGAGCACGGCCTGCGCCGCATCGAGAGCGCCAGGCCTTCGGACCCGGGGTTCCAGGGCACGTCCGTGGTGCAGCTTCGGAGTTGAGGCCAGCGCTGAGCTAGAGCACCAGTTTCAAGGACCTTCACATCGGACGTGAAACCCACGATATACAGCGAACGCTATTGTGAAAGACGGACACTTTGGAATTGAGGCCAATGCTGTGGCGGGAGCACAATTTTGAAGGACTGGGACCGTGGAGCTGGAGCCAATGATGCAGCGGGAGCACCTTTGATAAATACAAAGCAAAGCAGCGGACGTGAGGCCAGCCAGGGCCGCATCCAGAGCACTACGTTGAATTACCGGAAATATGGATGGCGGTCAACCCTACAGCGGGAACTCAATTGTGAAGGACCGAGGGCGCGGAAATGAGGCCGATGCTGCAGCGGGAGCACCATTCAGAAACGAGAACGTGGAAATGGAGCTAATGCTGCAGCAAGAACGCTGTTTTGGAAGGACCGATAACGCTCGGTCTGGAAAACACGAGGATAACATATAAACGTGTGAACTGTAGGAAACGCTGCATGGATACTCTCAACACGTCTTCGGGGGAGAGACCTCACATCGTGGGGATGGAGGAGGAGGAAGAGGAGGAGGAGGAGGAGGAGGAGGAGGAGGAGGAGGAGGAGGAGGAGGAGGACGAGGACGAGGAGGAGGAGGAGGAGGGAGGAAGCGGAGGGAAGATGAGGGAGGAGGGAGGATGGAGGAGTGACCGCTCGGCCCGCTGTCGGCGCGACGAGAAGAGGATGGCGCCGCCGCCGGCGCTCGCGCGGCGGCGGCCTCGCCCTCTGGGAGCCGCTGCGCAGAAGGGGGGGGGGGGGGGGATGGAGGGGGAGGGAGAGGACGGGGGCAGGGGAGGAGGATGTGGAGGGGGAGGGGGAGGGGGAGGAGAGGACGGGAGGAGGAGAGGAAGGGGAGAGGCGGGTGTGGATGGGAGGGTGAGGGGAAGGAGAGGAGGAGGAGGAGGAGGAGGAGGAGGGGGAGGAGGATAGGAGGAGGAGGAGGGAGGAGGAGGAGGAGGAGGACGAGGAGGAGGAGGAGACGAGAGAGGACGAGGAGGACGACGAGGAGGACGAGGAGGAGGAGGAGGAGGAAGAGGAAGAAGAGGAGGAGGAGGAAGAGGAGGAGGAGGAGGAGGAGAAGAGGAAGGGGAGAGGGGAAGTCTGGGTGGGGGAAGGGGAAGGAAGAGGAGAGGAGAGGAAGGGGGGGCGGGTGGAAGGGGGAGGGCTGAGAACCCCCAGTTCGCCACTCTTCCCGCTTCCCGTGCTCCTCCGCGTCCTCCCCTTCTTCATTTTCCTTCCCCTCCTGCTCTCCTCCTCCTCCTCCTCCTCCTCCTCCTCGTCCTCCTCCTCTTCTCTTCCTCCTCCTCCTCCTCCTCTTCTTCTCCTCCTCTCCAGCTCCCCCTCTCGTCCCCCTGTATCCCGACGCCCCCCGCGGCCCGCGCGCCCTCGCCGCGCCTTATTGTTCAGGCAGGCGCGGTGCATCGTCTGCAGCTCCCTGTTCTCCTTCTGCAGGTGCGGCTCGGCCCGGAAGTTCTTGAGCATCTCGTCCTCAGCAGCGCCCCCCCCAAAGCGAGGCCAAAACAGGACAGCATCGGATCGGGATACATCGAGGATCTCTGATGTTCAGCGGTTCTGGAGGAGGTATCAGGCGCCGCGGCCTTTCCAGAGCATTCTGGAACGCTCTGATAAAAAAAGGAGCAGCAAACGGCATAAGCATACACTTTTGGAGCTCCGCGCGGTCCTCTGGGATCGGCGCCACTGACCCCCCTTCCTGGCGCGACGAGGGAAGAGGGCACCCGGGGCGGCGCTGGTGGCGCCGCCAGGGGGCCCACCCAATAACTCCGCGCGGAACACTCCACAAGTCTATGCTTGTGCAGTTTCCCGCTCTTCCATGGTCGCGTTCCAAAACGCCCTACGAGCGACACGTCCAGAGCCTGGGCCCGACTGGGAGCTCCACCGAAGGCCCCAGCGGCACAGGCCGCATGCGGGGACTGCCACCCATGTTGGCACACCCCTCACGCGGTTCGCGGCCCCACTGGGAGCCCCACCGAAGGCCCCAGCGGCACAGGCCCCAACGACCTCGAAATCTGCAAAGACCTTGAAATCTTGGAGGCCCCGGTTGCCCCAGATGGGGGAATCCAGAGGTATCGGTACCGCTAACTGCCTAGACCTCTCCCGGGGTGCTTTCTGACCAGGGCTTCGGGGCGAATCCAGCGGTGCCCACGAGGGGAGGTCCGAAATGCCCAGCGAAGCCGAGGAACGGGTTAATTACCGGCATCGGTAACTCTATTCCTCCCCTGACGAGACATCCTCGGAGAACGACCGCAGTCTCAACACCGAGCGATGCCACCCCTCATCCCCACTGGCTCACCACACGGTGCGTCGGCGGCCAATCCGGGGGGTATATACGTCCGACGGCGGGTCTCCTCAGAAGGCTCGGAAGGCCTCCAGCCTCCAGAGAAGTGTTTGAAACTTCCTCCTCGTCCTCCTCTCCCTCCTCCTCCTCCTCCTCCGCTTCGTCGTGTTATCCAACCCTAATGCAATTGACCGTGCTCGATCAACGTCTCCGAAGACACAGACAACTTCTCGGCCGTCATGAGGCGTGAAGGCTTCCAGGAAGCCCCGCCGCTTCCCTCTCGCTGCCCCCCACTGGCTCACCACACCGCGTGGTCCCCGCACCGTCTGGGGGCCCCCGGCTCTCCCTGGGAGCCCCGCAGAGGCCATGCGCGGGGATCTCTGGGGTTCTTCCAGGGGTCAGGGCCCGTGGCGGGAGCGGGGTTCGCCACGCGGCGTACCCTCTCGCCGAGCACAGTCAAAACGGATAGCAAGGATGCGCGATGAAGATGAAAGCCCCTTGGGCGCCCGTGTTGAAGCTTTCTCGAAAGCGGCGGGCGGTCCATCGAAGGTAGTCAAGGATGGACCAGGGAGGCACGGATGCAAGGGTAGCCGTATGAAGACTACCCATCCTTAACATCGGTTTCGACTGCAGTTTCTCTCACTTCAAGACGAAGCCAGGACGAGGATGAATTCGGGTGGTGAGGATAGATCGAAAACCTCTGAGATATGGCGGCTCTGGAGGATGTCTCGGGCGCCGCGGCCTTCTCAGAGTGTTTCGCAACGCTCTGAGAGCGCTCTGGACTCATATCCTCTCCCAACGACGTCTCGGGGCGACGTACAGGTGGGGTAGGAGCAGAGGTGGGGGTTGGCGGAGAGTTGCTCCAACTGCTCCGCGGAGGAAGGACATACGAGCGGAAGCCAGACATATATATGTATATATATATATATGTATATATATATATATATATATACATATATATAGATATATATCACGCACCGCACATATCGCGGATCGCTCTCCTCTGGCCATCGCTCGGACGTCCATTCCCTGTGTTTTTTGTTCGGTTCCGTGCGTGGCTTTTTCGCCACATGATCAGGGATGCTCCTCGATGGTCCTCGCCGAAGGACAAATGCACACGTCCGAGCGATGCCAAGTTCTGTTCCAAGGGAACAGTAAAGGGCGTACAGTCGGGGCACTGACCTAAGGAACCCTAAATAAGGAACGAGGCCCCTGTTTTCCACAAGGTAAACTTCGATTTCTGATCGAAAACATAAGGAAAACCTGAGGCAAGCTGTGAAACACTTGAGGAACGCGGAGCCCCTCCCCAACCAAAAAGGTTCCTTCTTCAGGGCCCCGACTGCATGCGTAAACGTTTGGAACTCCGCGCGGATCTCCTGGATCGGCGCCACAGGCCCCCCTCCCAGGCGCGCGGAGAGGGCGGCGGCGGCGGCGCTATGGAGGCGCCGCCCTATGGGGGCTCCGCGCCGATCCACGAGCTCCACGAATGTATGTTTTTTTGTTTGTTTCCTCTCGCTCCTTCTCGTCTTCCGTCCTTCCCTTCTCCTCCTCCTCCTCCTCCTCCTCCTCCTCCTCCTTGGCGAGCCGACAGTCTGTTAG